CCTCCCCGCCGCGGCCAATCACAAGATGGCTCCTCCTCGTTGACCCCGCCCATCCCCACCGGTCAAGAACGCCTCTCTAAGCGTTTGACCAATGGGAGGCCGTCGGCGGGCGGAGTTGCGTGCCGCAACAGAGGGCTGGTGCCGCCTCTTCTCTCGCCTCTTCGAACACGGTCGTCAATTGGCTGAGACTTACCGTGATTGGCAGCTCAGCGAACTAATCCGAAAGAACTGCATCCCAATTTCTTTGGTCCAGCCGTTAGGCAGCACGAGCACGTGCTTTAGATGATTAAACTGTCTGGTGGAGGCCAAAATGCGCACATCCACTAGATGGCAGTAAAGCACTGGAATGCTCGCTCTCTCTCTCTCTCTCTCCCAGCACATTTTTTTCATTCCAAATGTGATAGGCCAGTGATGGCGAACCTTTTAGAGACTGAGTGCCCAAACTGCACCCCAAAAACCCACTTATGCATTGTTGAGTGCTGGGTGGGCATGGCCCATTGGCTGGGTGTGGCCCATTGGGTGGGCGTGGTCCATTGGGTGAGCATGGCCGCGGTGGTAACGACAGACTGGGTGGGACTAAAAAGTTCAATCAATCAATTCCAACTTTGCAAGATCTTTTTTTTCCCTGCGAGAAGTTGAAATTGACTGATTGATTGAACCTTTTTTTTTTTGCACACGGCGGTGGAGGCCTAAAGCGAAAAGGTTTTATAAAACCCAGCTGAAGGCCTAGGACTGGGGCGAGGGCGCATGTGCCCACAGAGAGGGCTCTGAGTGCCGCCTCTGGCACCCGTGCCATAGGTTCGCCACCACTGTGATAGGCTTAATTATATATTAAAAAATTATCCCATAAGGTAGTTCAGGCAAGAAGGTGGAAGATTGGCATTTGCTAAAGCATCAAAAATTTCCAAGAATGTAATACTTGGAGGCAATGAACAAGAAGGTAGGGCAAATGCTAGAAAGATTTGTTGAGGATTTGAAAATGATAAGTGCAGTGATAAGTGAAAATTATAAGATAAGTGCACTCTATCTGCTGGTCAAAAATGTTTAGATGTGACTGCAAATGAACATCTGAAATTGCCTTGTGAAAAAAGCATCTTTGGGATACCTGGAATCAAGGGGTGTGTGTAGTACCTTCCCAAGAGTTCAGTCTATTCTCTGAGGGTGATTTAGAGGCTTCTATGCTATTGTGGGAAGAATCCAGAGAAGGAAATATTTTGGGAAATATTAAAAGGTAGAATATTATATTTTCTCAAAGGATCTTAAAGGCAGACACCCCCCCAAGTCTCTCTGCCCCAAACAGAAACAAACCAGGTCAGCAGAAATGCAGATATGATAATCTTGTCAGAAAGATTGGAGCCAGGAAGCTGGGATTAGAAAGATAAAGATCCCTATAATCAACAATCCCTCACACCAAAAAAATCCACCACTCATCAGCCCCAGCCCCTAGGCAGAGGCCAGCTTTTAGAAATGCAAATTCAATAATCTTTTCAAAAAGGTTGAAGCCTTCCAGCTAGAAACTGAAGAAATTAGGAAGACAAAGACCCTTAAAATCTATATAACCCCACCCAAACTCTAAGACAGGATTAACCCACCAATACCAAAGAGACACACTCAGACTCAGGTCAAAGTACATGACACAGAAAATACAAAGCCTCAAACAGGAACAGGAAACAACCTCAAGAGCCCCAGAAGGTATAAAAACCCACTCCCTATTACATGTAGTCACTTTTTTTTTTCCAGAGCCATTTTTCTGTCTGGCTCTCCTCTTCAATAAAGTATAACTTTCTTTCTAAAGCAGTCTCCATGTTGTTTATTCCTGGCTTGGAATGGACACTGATGAAGATTTTTCTTTCAACACTCCTTTTCTAATTAACTGTACTTCTATATATCATACTTGTTAATTACCAAGATTGTCCAAAGTCACTCAATTAGCAGTCTTATTAGAACAAAATAGCAATAGCATTTAGACCAGTGGTTCTCAACCTTTTTAATGCTGCGACCCCAACCGGTCGTAAGTCGAGGACTAAACCGGTCGTAAGTCAAGGACTACCCAACCGGTCATAAGTCGAGGACTTTCCCTGCCCGGGAGCGCCACGCATGCGTGGTTCCACCCCCTGCTGGCAAGCAGCAGAGACGGAGCAGGCCGACCACCAGCTGGCCCAGCCCAAGGGAGGTAAGGCACCCGCCGGAAAAGGGAAAAAATGGCGGACAAAAAAAATGGCGGACAGCCTTGCTTGGCGACCCCCGTGAAATGGTCGATCGACCCTAAATGGGGTCCCGACCCACAGGTTGAGAACCACTGATTTAGACTTATATAGCGCTTCACGGTGCTTTAAAGTCCTCTCTAAGTAGTTTGCAGAGTCAGCATCTTGCCCTCAACAATCTGGGTCTTCATTTTACCAACCTCGGAAAAATGGAAGGCTGAGTCAACCTTGAGCCGGTGAGGATTGAACTGCTGGGTGTGGGCAGAGTTAGCCTACAATACTGCAGGCTAACCACTGCGTCCCCATAGCTAAAGTAAGATTATCACAGGCAATACTATCCTAATGTCTCTTCTGCAAGTGGTCAATTGGCCAAGGATATTTTAAACTTAAACTAAAAAGCTTAAAAGCCTAGTTAATGAACATATTAAAGAACATTTTAGACAGAAACAGCATTCCACAAAAAATGAACAGAAATGGAAATGCAGAACTAAAATTGAATATAGAACTAAAGTCCGCATCCAAAGAGGAGGAAAAAGATACATATAAGATTCTCTGCCTTTTCTTCCATAGTACTAATACATAGGATTGGGAGGATAATCAGCATAGCAGCCAGTTTGGTTTAGTTAAGGCACCAGGTTGGAAAATCAGAGAGCTTGAATTCAAATTCAAATGTCGCCTTAGGCATGAAAGCCCACTTAGTGACTTCAGGCCAATTCGTCTCTCTCAGCCAAGCCACCTCACAGGGTTGCTATAATGAGGAAAATGAGGAGAAAGGTATGTTGGATATGTTCGCCCCCTCCCCTTGAATTACTCATAAAAATAATAAGGGTGTGTGGGAAGAAAAATCAAGTCCGGTTCCAAGCCAGCCAAAAGACGCTGAAAATAAAATGGAGGCTACAGGAAAGAAGGTCTCTGTTTATTTGGTAGCCAGAAACTTGTGATAACAGTATGTTTCTGGAGTGGCTGACAAAATGGATTGAGAGTAGGTGGAATTTTATACATTCTTTGGGGCTTTGAGATGCCTATCGTAAGGAATAAAATTTTAGAATAAAAAGTGAAGTTAAGTGACACGTACTCTGTAAAATTTCTACACGTAGACTGTAAGATTTCTACACAAAAATTTCTACACGTAGACTGTAAGATTTCTACACAATTTCTACATGTACACGTACCTTGTAAGGTTTCTACACGTAGGCTATAGGATTTCCACACTAAGCTGTAGGATTTCATGCTAAAATACATATAAGGGAATAGGTGAAGCAAAATAGTAAGGAGCAGGGATAATGTATTTTGTTTAGGCGATCCTGATAAGATTGTAACCTCTAAAGCTCAGCCAATGAAGCCACAGAGGAGGGGCCAAGGCAATCGGGATAGAATGCATATAATGTGTATCTTTGTTGTGACTAGGTGTGGCTCAAATATTTATTTGGAGTCCACCACGTTTTGCAAACCGTTGTATCCAATAAATCTCTTGTCTAATTTCAACTTGCTGTTTGGTGTTATTCAGTGGACTAGAATTTCTGCCAACATTGTGAAATGTACTTTGACCAGTGCTTGAGTGTGCCCTTTTAGTATTCTAATTATTGTTGCCTGGTTCCCATTGTGGCTGGGAGGTCATGCCCTGTCCTTGGAGCTGGGCTGAGGAATGTAGATTTTAGGAATCTTTGTTTTTGTACTTTTATAATCCCATCAGCTTCGGCCTTGTGTGGGGGCTGTACCTGAAGGTGTTTTGTTTATGAATGGAGCTGTCTGGCTTTCTGTAAATTGATACAATGGAATGTTCCAGTTTTTTCAATAGATACAAAAGTATATCGTTCATAAAAGTTAACTTAAGCTTCCTTTTGGGGGGGCGCAAATGCTGACTTCCTACAGGTGGGATACAAATAAATAAAATATTTTAAAGGGCAGTGGTTGAACTTTATGAAGAACTGACTGGAAGAGCCCAATTGGCCTTTTAGTATCCATTATGAGTTATTTCTTTCCGATTTTTGTGGTTGACTTTGTATTGCTTTTATATTTTAATGTTAACATTTATCATTTTAAAGTATTAATGATTTACATTCTCTTTTTTGTCTTGTAAGCTGCCTACTTGATAGCAAGATGGGCAGCATATAAATTTAATAAATAAATAAATAGCTGTCCAAAGTCACAGCTGTGAGTTGGGCAGCTGTATAAATTTAACAGGTATAATACCTGCAGGCTACCAATTTGCTTACTTTCCAAACCCTGTAAAAAATAAAAAAATAAAAACTTTTACAAAGATCCCACCCTCTAATGCTATTTAATATAATAATAATAATAATAATAATAATAATAATAATAATAATAATAATAATAATAATAAAAAGTTGGAAGGGACCTTGGAGGTCATCTAGTCCAACCCTCTGCTCAGGCAGGAAACCCTATACCATTTCAGACAAATGGCTGTCCAGTTATGATTTTTTTTAATGATTTCTTAAACTGCATACGATTCAGATGATCCCGTAAAAGGCACTGAGCGGCTTACAAACGACACGAAAGGGAGAAAAAAAAGCTGCATATGAACCTCGCGATGGATCGCTGAGGCTGCCAGCAACTGCCCTCTCTTACTTTTTCTTATCTCTAAGGTGCCCGCGATGCCTTCCAAGGATTGGTCGTTTCCAATCCTCTCGCGGCCAACCGAGCGGACTGCCCATTGGATGGCGGGAGAACCACAGAGACCGGGTCCTCCAGGCGGGCGCAGAGCGCCGCGCGTGCGCAGTGGAGGGGCTCTAGCATGTGTGCTTTCTCGGCCAGGCGGTAAAATGCAGAGGACAGCGGGGTGAACCGATGCTGAAGCTGCAAGGGACGCTGCTGTGGGGCACAGGTCGGTGCGGGGTCTGTGGGGCGGGGGTGAGTAGTGAATGGGGGAGGGGATTCCTCAAGGAAACGTTTCACCTCGACCCGGATCTTTGGGGAAGGGCGCTTTGCCTTACTGGGGGCTGCTGAATTTGAACTCGCCACCCTTCCTCTCTTTTTTTGGGGGGGGGGTTAATAGGGACACAGATATGCACACCTTGAACTGTGTGGATAACTTCCCTGGCCTCCTTGATTGACAGCCTTTCATCGATCGGGTTGGCCCGGGTTGGTGTTTAAACGGGAGACCACCAGGAGATCCATGAAGGCTGCCTGGAGGAGGAAGTTGAATTAGATGCCTCGGGATTCAGCCACTTCTCTGTTGACGCTAAGAAACCTGCCCTGAGGAGATCACGAGTCAGGCTCAAGGGAGATCTCTCCTGTTATTTGACCTTCCTTGTTGCAGGTAGTCCTCAACCTGCAGCCACAATTGAGACTAAAATTTCCCTTGCTAAGTGAGTTTTGCCACATTATACGACCTGTAGCCATCATAAATGCATGCCAGTTGCCAAGGGTCCGAGTTTTGATCCTGTGATCATGGGGATGCTGCAACGGTCGTAAGTGTGAAAAACGGTCATAAGTCCCTTTTTTCAATGCTGTCGTAACTTCAGACAGTCACCAAACGAATGTAAGTCGAGAACTACCTATATTTGTTTCCCACAATTCCCAATGAAATCCATTCCCCTCCCTAATGAAGAAAAGTGCAGGGCCCTGTATCTCCCCCCCACCGCTTAACATTAGTACTAGTGTATATATTTAATAAAAAGAAATAAATAGATGAACAAACTTAGCTGTTTTTTAAAAAAAAATTGAATTGATGTATTATATTGTTTTAGATACAACCTGGTCAGTAAAAGCTGCAAAAGCTACCTTTATAGAGCAGGGGTCTTCAAACTTGGCCCTTTTATGACTTGTGGACTTCAACTCCCAGAAGTTGCCTGGCTGAGGAATTCTGGGAGTTGAAGTCCACAAGTCATAAAAGGGCCAAGTTTGAAGACCCCTGTTTATAGAGTATCCTAAACTTGGTTTGGATTTCTCTTAGGATTGGGGTTGCATATTGGACGAGATGTTTTATTGTAATCGAGAAAGGCAGGTGTGAATATGGCCATTAAGATGTTTTACTTTCCTGAAATAGGGGGGAACTGATCCCCCATCCTTCTGAAGGTTGGGGAAAGATTGATGTAACGGATAAAGTGCTCATCCTTGATTTTCTGTCTTACCTATGAAAAAGGACCTCTACAGGTTCTAGAGTGCCATCCCCAACCGAATTAAGCAGTCTTGAGACCGATAAATAAATAAAATTTTGCCAGATATGAAATGCTTTGTTTGCAAGTTAGAGGAGACCACGTGCTCTTTTTCCACTGCTTGCTTTGTCAGGCTTATATACTTCCTCCCCTGCCAACCTAAAACATGCAGATGGAATAAATGGGTTGATTGCACATCTGTAACATCCAGAAAAAGAGGTTCCCGGTGTGATATATAGTAAAGGCCTTACAAAATCCAAAATACTGGTAGAATTGTTATGTAAACCAGTGGTTCTCAACCTGTTCGTGGTTCCCTGTGGTGGTGGGGGGTCACACTGTCATCACAGGTCCGCAAAGGCTTGAAGAAATGTTATGATTTAAACCTTTTAAGTTAAGTCTTGGTGGTCCGTGGCCACGGTCTGTGGCCACAAAAGGTATTTAAAGGGGGACCTGTGATGAAGAAAAGGCTGAGAACCACCGATGCAAACGATATAAAAACCCACACTGAAACTAGCATAATGGATAAGTAGAAACATGGAGCAGTAATATATGCAGCATCTTTTCTTTGTCCACCTGATCAATACTGTATCTTCTGAAATTATAGGGGAGAGAGGAAGGATGGGAAGAGAGGAGGAGGGAGGGAGGAAGGAAAGAAGGAAGGAAAGGAGAAAGGAAGGGAGAAGTGACTAGAGAGGAAGGAAAGAAGGAGAGAAAGAAAGGGGCGAAAGGAGAGGAATAGAAGGGAAGAGAGAAGGAGGAGAGAAGAAGGAAAGGCAGGAAGGGAGAAAAGAGAAGGAGAGAGGAAGGGAGAAGTGACTGGAGAGGAAGGAAAGGGTGAAAGAGGAATAGAAGGGAAGAGAGTAGAAAGAGGAATAGAAGGGAAGAGGAATAGAAGGGAATAGAAAGGAAGGAGAAGGAAAGGAAGGGAGAAAAGAAAAGGAGAGAGGAAGGGAGAAGTGACTAGAGAGGAAGGCAAGAAGGAGAGAAAGGAAGGGGCAAAAGGAGAGGAAGAGAAGGGAAGAGAAGGAGAGAAGAAAGGAAGGAAGGAAGGGAGAAAAGAAGTAAGAGGAAGGGAGTAGAGAGGAAGGAGAGAAAGGAAGGGGCGAAAGGAGAGGAAGAAAAGGGAAGAGAGAAGGAGGGAAGAAAGGAAGGAAGGGAGAAAAGAGAAGGAAGGAGAGGAAGGGAGAAGTGATTAGAGAGGAAGGAGAGAAAGGAAGGGACGAAAGGAGAGGAAGAGAAGGGAAGAGAGAAGGAGGAGAGAAGAAGGAAGAAAGGAAATCCAATCACAGTAAAGAAGTAACAACCCTTTGGATTTTTGAAGCGGTTTCTCAAATGCTTCAGAAAATAAAACAGACAATGTGGGTGATAGAAAGCCCATCGCACAGGCACCAGTGGAATTAGGCTGTGGAGGGTGTTTTACAACTGGAGGATCCCTACTTTTCTTTGGTAACTGCTTGCCTTGGCCCTAGACTCCATTGCCTGGAAAGTCAAGAGGGATGTTGGTTTGTTTCTGTCCCTGATGGCCTTTTGTAACCAGTTCCCGTGACAATCACCCTTCTCTCATTTTTAGGTAGGCTCCGTGTTGGGATGAGATGCTACTCGACCAGGGTAAAAGAAGAAACCAGGAAACTATGGTTACATGAGCAGGTGGAGCTGCTGGAGGGTAAGCCAATAAACAAGAATAAAAATAAAGGTCTGCAGATACTAACATGCAGCTCATATTCAGAACTGGATGTCTGTGCATTTGATGCGCCGGCTGCAGTGATTTCTATGCTTGCAGTGTGAGTAACTCTGAGCAGCTGAAAGGAATATGGGTAGTCCTTAGCTTACGGCCACAACTCAGCCCCAAATTTCTGTGGATAAATGAGATGGTTGTTAAGTGAGTTTGGCCCCATGGTATGACCTTTCTTGCCACGGTTGCTAAGTGAATCGCTGCAGTCGTGAAGTTAAGTCACGCGGTTATGAAATGAATCTGGCTTTCCCATTGACTTTGCTTGTCAGAAGGACGCAAAAGGGGATCACAGGAGTCCAAGATAATTGCAACCGTCCTGAGTATGAGTCAGTTGCCAAGCATCTGAATTTAGCTTAATGTCCTGGTTCCAGACAGATGTTACTCTTCAAAGAACTTCAAGGCATTGCTTACCTTAAAGAATCTTTATTCAAATAACATGGCATCGGCACGTGCATGGCTGAAGCCAAAATCTGACTTCCCCTCCCCTCAGCACATAGATCAAAGCACAATTCCCTCCTACAACTAACAGTCAATAATAATAATAATAATAATAATAATAATAATAAAAAGTTGGAAGGGACCTTGGAGGTCATCTAGTCCAACCCCCTGCTCAGGCAGGAAACCCTATACCATTTCGGACAAATGGCTGTCCAGTCTCTTCTTAAAAACTTCCAGTGTTGGAGCACCCACAACTTCTGGAGGCAGGTCGTTCCACTGGTTAATTGTTCTCACTGTCAGGAAATTCCTCCTTAGTTCCAGGTTGCTTTTCTCCTTGATTAGTTTCCATCCGTTGATTCTTGTCCTGCCTTCAGATGCTTTGGAGAATAGCCTGACTCCCTCTTCTTTGGGGCAGCCCCTGAGATGTTGGAACACTGCTATCCTTTTTCAGTGTCGTCGTAAGATCTTTTTTTTCCCTGCGAGAAGTTGAAATTGACTGATTGAACCTTTTTTTGGTTTTTTTTGCACACAGTGGCGGAGGCCTAAAGCGAAAAGGTTTTATAAAACCCAGCTGAAGGCCTAGGACCGGGGCGACGGCGCGCGTGCCCACAGAGAGGGCTCTGAGTGCCGCCTATGGCACCCGTGCCATACGTTCGCCACCACCGCTTTATATCCTTGTTTTGGTTCAGCTTAAACCGTTACGGATCATATATTTTGTTCTGTTTCCCTCCCGCCCCCTTCCAGTGTTGGAAGCTAGAGTGAAGCAACTCCGGGCTGACCACGGATCGGAGCTCCTGAAGCCCAACCTCCAGCTATGTCAGGTCGAGAAATTCAGTTACTTTCCGAGTGCCCAAGGGCAGAAGAGCCCTGCGCCCCGAGCAGCTCAAGGCAAGCCGGTCCCGATGGATGACACTAGGCTCGCCGTCAAAGGGAACGCTTGGAAGGCCAAAATTAAGGTGGAAAAACAAGCCAAGAAAATGAAGCGTTGGGACCTGAACACCAGGACCTTGGAAGCCATCCTCTCTTCTAAAACTCTGGTGGAAAAAGCCGTCAGGAGCTGCCCCGCATCCGTCAGGAAATCTGTAGCGGACGGCTCCAAGGCGCAGTCGGACAGCAACATCGCCTTGACTGGGATCCGGATCTGGGACAGAAACGTGCGTCCCGTTTCTTCTCCTTCTTCTTCTGCTGCTGCTTCTGCTTCTTCTTCTTCTGCTGCTTCTGATACTGCTGTCAAGGCCGAGGCCGAGCCTGTTCTGATGCTGAACGGGAGGCCGCTTCCAGAAATGAAAGTCTTCCAGGACGATATCCGGATGAGCATTTTAGCCTACATGGACACTTCCCTGTTCCAGGGCCAGAAGAGGAAAGCCCTGCAGTGTTTGTTATATTTCCACAATACCCCGGGGCTGAAGAAGTTTCTGACCACGCAGATGTTCAGTCTCCTCATGTGTCATTACGCCAAGCAGGTATTTCTTTTGGCTTCTTTTCAGACACGGGCTTGACCCGACTTGCTCTGTTAGGAAAGAAGCACGCCCTCGGCTGCCCGTTTGTAGCGAAAAGGTTGGTTTTTTTTTTACTAAGAGCCAAGGAGGTTACGTCGAGCAAAGCCAGATCTAAGAGTTTTGCGGGCAAATATTCCCTAGTTGAGTTTCCCTTCTCTATTTCACTCCCCCGTTGTCTCCCCCGTTTTTGTCCAGTCACGTTCGAAGGAGATGTTTTGGTTACTGTCCCTGCAACGGTTGGGCAGATGGACAGGTGCTGCATTTCATTCCCAGGTCCTTGGGACGACTCGGGATGGCAGAAGATCCCTGTCAGTCTCCCCATCTCCCCATCTCTTTCTTCCTCCCCCCATGACTTATGGCAGACTAGAGGAGCAAAGTGAGCAAAGAATGGCAGTTCTCGTTCTCTCTCTCTTCCTCTCCCTCTTTCTCTCCCTCCCTCTTTCTCTCCCTCTTTCTCTTTCTCTCTCCCTCTTTCTCTCCCTCTCTTTCTCCTCTCCCTCTCTTTCTCCTCTCTTTTTCTCTCTCTCCCTCTCTTTCTCTCTCTTTCTCTAACTCCCTTTCTCTTTCTCTCACTCCCTTTCTCTCTTTCTCCCTCTCTTTCTCTCTCTCTTTTTCTCTTTCTCTCTCCTCTCTTTTTCTCTCTCTCCCTCTCTTTCTCTCTGTCTCTTTCTCTCACTCCCTTTCTTTCTCTTTCTCTCTTTCTCTCACTCCCTTTCTCTCTTTCTCTCCCTCTCTTTCTCCCTCTCTCTTTCCCTCCCTCATTTCTTTCCCTCTCTTTCTCTCTCCCCCTCTCTTTCTCTTTTTCTTACTCTCTCTCTCTCTCTCTCTTTCTCTCTCTCTCTCTCTCTCATACACACACACAAACACAAAACCTTCCAGGGAGTTTCCAATTTAGGTGACGATACAGATAGTCCTCAGCTTACAACTATAGTTAAGATCAGAATTTCTATTGCTCAGCATGGTGTTTGTTAAGTGAGTCGCCTCTGATTTTACGACCCTTTTTGCCACGGTTGTTAAGCAAATCACTGCAGCCGTTAAATGAATCATGGCAGTTGTTAAGCAAACCAGCTTCCCCTGTTGACCTAGCCTTTGGATAGGCAACCTTGGCTCTTTTATGGCTCATGGACTTCAACTCCCAGAATTCCTGAGCCTGCCATGCTGAGGGGAAAGGGAGAGGTTTCCAAGCTGAGCCATGCTGGCTCAGGAATTCTGGGAGTTGAAGTATACGAGTCATAAAAGAGCCAAGGTTGCCTACCCCTGAGCCTGTTGGAAGCCAGCTGGGAAAACTGGTGGTCACATGACTGCAGGACACCACAACCTTCCTAAGTACCGGTTGCCAAGCGCCCCAATTTTGATCACCACGGGGAAGGCTGCGATGATTGTAAGTGTGTGAGTACCGATCTGAAGTCACCTTTTTTTCTGCCGTTGTTTCACTAAATGAGTGGTTGTAAATATGAGGATCACCTGTACGCTGTCCTGAGGCGGGGGAGGAATTTGAACTCGGATCTCTTGGACTGAGCATTGGTTTGTCTGAGCCAGCATGGCCACCGTTGACGGAAGGAAAGGAAGGCTATTCCAGCTGGTCAAAGGGCAGCCTCTTTGGGGTTTGTGGGCTGAAATCTGCTGCCCCCTTGCACCGGGAGGGGTGAGACAGATGGAGGGTGATGGCCATAGAGTAGCTGAATTGGGTGGGGCAGCTGAGTTTTCATCCTAATAATAATAATGATAAAGTTGGAAGGGACCTTGGACGTCATCTAGTCCAACCCCCTGCTTAGGCAGGAAACCCTATACCGTTTCAGACAAATGGTTGTCCAGTCTCTTCTTAAAAACTTCCAGTGTTGGAGCAGTCACAGCTTCTGGAGGCAGGTTGTTCCACTGGTTAATTGTTCTCACTGTCAGGAAATTTCTCCTTAATTCTAAGTTGCTTCTCTCCTTGATTAGTTTCCATCCGTTTCTTTTTGTCCTGCCTTCAGGCGCTTTGGAGAATAGCTTGACTCCCTCTTCTTTGTGGCAGCCCCTGAGATATTGGAAGACTGCTATCTTGTCCCCCTTTGTCCTTCTCTTCATTAAATTGGACATGCCCAATTCCAGCAACCGTTCCTTGTATGTTTTAGCCTCCAGTCCCCTGATCCTCTTTGTTGCTCTTCTCTGTACTCTTTCTAGAGTCTCAACATCTTTTTTTACATCGTGGAGACCAAAACTGGATGCCGTATTCCAAGTGTGGCCTTACCAAGGCATTGTAAAGTGGTATTAACTCTCCACCTGATCTTGATTCTGTCTCTCTGTTAATGCAGCCTAGCACTGTGTTGGCTTTTTTGGCAACTGCAGCACACTGCTGGCCTCTATTTAAGTGATTGTCCACTAGGACAGGGCTTTTCAACCTTTTCACCCATTGTACCACTTTTAGGATATGGCAGTATCCGAGTACCACCAGTCGCCTAGCAAGGTGTCAAAAACATGATGATCCAGAAAAAAAGGAAAAAAGTGATAAAGTACAGGTAGTCCTCGACTTACAACAGTTCACTTAGTGACTGTTCAAAGTTACAATGGCACTGAAAAAAGTGTCCCCCAAGGCACAGCCGAGCAAGACACCTGCCTGCCTGCCCGCCCGGCAGCGCTCTCATTCCCTTCCCCCGCTACTTTTCTAGGATGGTCGCGTACCACCTGCCAGGTGCCAATGTACCACAGGTGGTACCCGTACCACTGGTTGAAAAGCCCTGCACTAGGACTCCGAGATCCCTCTCACAGTTGCTACTATTGAGCAAGGCACCCCCTGTATTATACCTGGTGCATTTGATTTTTCTTGCCTTCCTCAACCGTTCATCTTATGAGGCTATCATCCCCCGTCACTTCTTGCTTGTGGTGGGGAAATAATGCCTGCCAGCTGGACACTGCGGTGGGCCAAGTGTGGAGCATGTGACTGAAAAGGAGAGGAACATGCAATGTCTTCCAATGAAGGCTTGCCTGCCCTGGACTAGTATCATTGCTGAATGTATGGATTACATGTATTGATACATACAGTAGCTAGTTGTCCTCACCTTACAGCCACCCGTTTAGTGGCTGTTGGAAGTTAAGAACGGTACTGAAAAAAACTGACTGGCATGTTTTTCAGGCTTACGACTAGTGCATCCCCACACTCCCATGATCAAAATTCGGACGCTTGGCAACAGACTTGTATTTTTTCTCCCCACGTTTTTTATTAATTTTACAATATTACATTTACATATTTGAAAAGTAGTGTGGCGACTGAGCACAGTAATTCCATTACATTTGAATATCATCGGTACAAATCTCAAAGTATTACAACAACTAATTCCCTCTCTTTCCCCCATAATATCTACTGTCATGTTCGAACCAATACAGTTCTTATTCTATCAATCGAACAAAAAGTACCTTTCTAATATTCATCAATAATCTTCAGTCTATACATATCTTAGTTAATTTGACATTCCACCTTTTGGACAATAACCTAGTACGTTTCTCTTAACTTTAATTTCCCATTGATATTTAAGTTTAACGTTTAATCTTTATCATTTCCAGATTTTAAATGATCCCAATTTCTAAGTCTCGTATCTCACATTTGGGGCTAATATATTTTTTTCTTTTCTTCCTTCTACTTCCTTTCTTCCTTCCTTTCCAGAAAGAGAAAAAAAAATAAAAATAAACCACCAACATTTGTACCACAAACCCATATACAAATGTAATTATTAGTATTTATACTTCTAAGTTTTACTTAACCTTTGTCTCAACTCATAACAATATCTTAAATTCAAATCTTAGTTATTTGTAAACATTCAAACTTTTAGCCAGTCAGTAACCTGATGGTTAATTTTCCCTTAATATTTTAATTTAACATTTAATATTTATTTTTCCCAGATTTTTAATTAAACACAATTCCTTTATCACAATTTCTCAGACATTCTAATATTTAAAATACACACCTTGTATATAAATTCTACCATCTATCTTACCAATCTAATAAGACAGTATAATATTCTTATTTCAATATATTTCTAGATTTTATGTGACCCAAATTTTCTTTATCTCAAATTGTTACAATATCTTGTGTTCAGAATACATATTCTATCCGTTTAGATATATTCTATTTTAGATCTCATGTATAGATCAGACTCGTATTTATGACGATCGCCGTGTCCCGGGGTCAGGCGATCCCCTTTTGTGACTTTCTGACAAGCAAAGTCTTGCAGAACTCCATTTTATATTTTGGATTGTGTTATGTTTCTTTTTAAGGGCTGGGGTGGGGGTAGATAAGATTATCCGGATGGAGTCTGTGGTTGCATTTCATTCCTGTTTCTTTCTCTGCTTAGGGTGCGCTTATGAAAATTGGCTGGCTGTTTTCCATGCTGGAGGAAAATAACCTCAAGCCGAATCAGGATTGTTACATGGCTGTGCTAAATTGCATGGGTCGAATCAAAGCACAACCCCTTATCATTTCAAGGTAAGGAGCTGGGATGCTCTTCCACGGTGTTTCTCCACTTTGCCAATTTTAAGGTGTGGATTTCTAACACCCAGCATTCCCTCAGCCAGCAGGGCTTGCCAGGGAATCCTGGGAGTTGAAAGTCCAGACATCTACAAGCTACTGTAATTGAGGAACATTATCTCTTGGATGTAGGATAGTCTTGGGGTGCTGTTCCTGTTTGAATTGGGGAGGGGTAGGTGTATATACTCTAGCTAGGAGAAGCCAAAAAAGCCAACACAGTGCTAGGCTGCATTAACAGAGGGATAGAATCAAGATCCAGTGAAGTGTTAAAACCACTTTACAAGGCCTTGGTAAGGCCACACTTGGAATACTGCATCCAGTTTGGGTCACCACGATGTAAAAAAGATGCTGAGACTCCAGAAAGAGTACAGAGAAGAGCAACAAAGATGATTAGGGGACTGGAGGCTAAAACATATAAGGAACGGTTGCTGGAATTGGAAATGTCTACTTTAATGAAGAGAAGGACGAGGGGGGACAGGATAGCAGCGTTCCAGTATCTCAGAGGCTGCCACAAAGAAGAGGGAGTCAAGCTCTTCTCCAAAGCGCCTGAAGGCAGGACAAGAAGCAATGGATGGAAACTAATCAAGGAGAGAAGCAACCTAAAACTAAGGAGAAACTTCCTGACAGTTAGAACAATTAACCAGTGGAACAACCTGCCTCCAGAAGTACAGAACACTGGAAGTTTTTAAGAAGAGACTGGACAGTGATTTGTCTGAAATGGTATAGGGTTCCTGCCTGAGCCGGGGGTTTGACTAGATGACCTCCAAGGTCCCTTCCAACTTTATTATTTTTATTTTTATATTATTATTATTATTATTATTATTATTATTATTATTATTATTATTATTATTATTATTATTATTATTTCCATTGCTAAGCAAGGCAGTTGTTAAGTGAGTCGTGCACAACTTTATGACCGTTTTTGGCATGACTGTTAAGCAAATAACTGCTTTTGCTAAGTGAATCGTACGGTTGTTAAGCAAATCCGGCTTCCCCCATTGGTTTTGGCTGTCGGAAGCCAGCTGAGAAGGTTGCAGATGGTGATCAGGGGGCCCAGGGATGCCGCAACCGTTGTAAACACGTAAAAATTTTGATCACATAACCATGACCGTGGGGGCTGCTGCGACAGTTATAAGTGCAAAGACCGGCCATAAGTTACTTTTTTCAGTGAGGTTGTAACTTGAACGATCACGAAACAGATAGTTGTGAGCCCAGCAGTGTGCGGCAGCAGCTAGAAAAGCTAATACAATCCTGGGTTGCATAAACAGAGGCACAGAATCAAAGTCACATAAAGCAGGGCTTTTCAACATTTTCACCCATTGTACCACTTTTAGGATATGGCAGTATCCGAGTACCACCAGTCGCCTAGCAAGGTGTCAAAAACCTGATGACCAAAAAAAAGGGGAAAAAGTGATAAAAGTAGGTAGTCCTCGACTTACAACAGTTCGCTTAGTGACTGTTTGAAGTTACAATGGCACTGAAAAAAGTGCCCCCCAAGCCACAGCCGAGCAAGACACCTGCCTGCCCACCCGGCGGTGCTCTTCCTCCTGTCCGAGGTTTTCATTGTTGTGAGCATTTCTGTTGAGGATTGGCAGCGGTGGTGGGGTGGGGGGGTGTTTGGTTTTTATTCCCCCCGTCTGCTGGGTGGTTGCAGCAGGTTTTGGTCACTTCACATGACCCTGGGACACTGTGACCGTCATAAATATGAATCAGTTGCCAAGCATCTGAATGTAAAACACAAGACCCTGGAGATGCTGCAACATTCCAGTTGATCGGCGCTTCTTCTGGGCTCAACAGAAATGTCAGGATCAATGCTGCTTTCCAGCTGATTGGCACTTCCACTGAGCCCTGAGAGCCCTGAAGAAGCGCCGATCAGCTGGAAAGGGGCACTGATCCTGGTGCTTCCGCTGACCCCTGACAGCCCTGCAGCTCTAGCCATCTCTCGCTCAGGCTTGTGAGGTGCAGCCACCGGTTCAGCTCATTCCCCTCCCCAGCTACCCCTTTTCTAGGATGGTCGCGTACCACCTGCCAGGTGCCAATGTACCACAGGTAGTACCTGTACCACTGGTTGAAAAGCCCTGACGTAAAGTATTAGTACTGCTTTATAAAGCCTTAGTAAGGCCACACCCAGAATTCCGCATCCAATTTTAGTCACCACATCACAAAAAAGATGATGAGACTTTGGGAAAAAGTGCAGAGAAGAGCAACTAAGATGACTAAAGGCCTGGAGACTAAAACATATGAAGGACGGTTGCAGGATTTGGGTTTGGCTATCCTGTAAAAGAGAAGGACCAGGAGTGACTTGATAGCAGTATTTGAGGGGCTGCCACAAAGAAGAAGGTCATTTTCCAAAGCACCAGAAAGCAAGACAAGAAACAATAGATGGAAACCAATCCAAGGAGAGAAGCAACCTGGAATTAAGGAGAAAATTCCTAACAGTGAGGACAATTAACCATTGGAACAGCTGGCCTCCAGAAGTTGTGGGTGCTTCATCACTGGATGTCTTTAAGAAGAGATTTGTCTGAAAGGGTATAGGGCAGGGGTAGGCAACCTTGGCTCTTTTATGACTTCAACTCCCAGAATTCCTGAGCCAGCATGGCTCACCTTTGAAACCTCTCCCTTTCCCCTCAGCATGGCTGGCTCAGGAATTCTGGGAGTTGAAGTCCACGAGTCATAAAAGGGCCCAGTTTGAAGACCCCTGCTCTTAATCTTTGTCCTAGGCCAGGGGTAGGCAACCTTGCCTCTTTTATGACTCATGGACTTCAACTCCCAGAATTCCTGACCCAACATGACTCAGCTTGGAAACCTCTCCCTTTCCCCTCAGCATGGCTGGCACAGGAATTCTGGGAGTTGAAGTCCACGAGTCCTAAAAGAGCCAAGGCTGCCTACCCCTGGTATAAGTTCTTCTGCTTGAGCAGAGGGTTGGACTAGAAGACCTCCAAGGTCCCTTCTAGCTCTGTTCTGATTGATTGACTGATTGATTGACTACCTGGGGAATAGTGAGACCAAGCAAGCCTCAGGTTAGCTCCTGACAAGCTGCAGTGCTGACAGAGAACCACTGAGAATGCCCTGGGAGCAATTCTCAAGAGAAAACGCCGTTCCCTACTTGAAATGCCGCAGAAAAATTACTCAGCGTTGAATCCTGTTAACAAAAGATCAGCCTAGATAAAAACGTCTAGATAAAATTATAGCCGCCAGCATCCTGCGAGGTAAATCACTTGCAGCCGTCCATAAATAAAATGCTACTGTCCTCTGGTCAACCGTTTATCCTTTAATCTTAGGATAATCGTAGGACGTCAAGGAGAGTATTTATGTGGTTGCTAGGAGTCGAAACCACTTGATAAGCACATAATCAATCATAGACTGTGGGAGGCGGGGAATGAATGATATTTTAAACTACGTCAAAGAAGCTGTGACAGGGGAGAGGCCAAAACACATCTCAAATGCTTCCTTGGGGGAAATCGTAATCACTCACCACAAACTTTGAGCGATTGATCGATTGAGCTGTCCCAACTCGGTCAACTAGAAAAGAAAGACTTCTGAATCCACTGTTAACGAGAGTACACTTTACTAGAGCCAAGTGATTGCAGCGTAGCAAAGCCGGATCTGAGTTTTCACGGCCAAAGCATCTGGTTAACTTTATCCTTCTTCCCATCTTCCCCTCCCTGGTTATCTCCCAACTGTCCAATTACATTCAAACAGTTTTGGGAACAGTCTCTGGCTTGGCAGGCTGGATGGTGCTGCCTTCCGTGGTGACCTTGGAACCAGTAGTTTCGATTCCCTTTATGCTAGCGCCACTCCCCCCCAAAAGCATCCCACAACTCCCCCTCCCCCTGCTGTGTATGGCTGACTGGTAGCTGGCGAAGCATGGCTGGCGCAGCTTGATTGATAGATTATGCACCCTCAAGCGATATTGGCTCTTAGCGACCACATAAATTGATCTTCTCCTGGATGATCTGTTCTCAACCTGGTCTTCCTAGGGTGCAACCCATCATCACTGTAAATCCAGGTCCATCCCTCTTGTTCCTGCCCGTCTTTTTCATCTCTTATCCTTCTGTCTTTCCCAGCTTTATGGGCTTCTCGTGGAAGTTATGATGTGTTCAAAGTAGGATAATTTGAGCCTGGTTGGTTGATGGGACGAGAAGTTTGGATTGATTTTTTCTGTGATCCACTGGGTGGCTTCCTTGGCAGTCTGTGGGATTCTCAAGAATCTCCTTGCCTTCAGAGGTTGTGGGTGCTCCATCACTGGAGGTTTTTGAGAAGAGATTGGACAGCCATTTGTCTAGAAAAGTGTAAATTCTCTTGCTTGGGCGGTGGGTTGGCCTAGAACAGGGGTTGGCAATCTCGGCTCTTTTATGACTCGTGGACTTCAACTCCCAGAATTCCTGAGCCATTATTAATTTTCTATTTTTACAAATCATAACTGCAACCGTCATAATTAAGAGACAGTTGCCAAGTGTCCAAATTTTGGTGAGGTGACCTTGGGGAGGCTGTAATTGTCGTCGTAAGTGTGAAAAACGGTCATAAGTCGCTTTTTTCAGTGCCTTTGAAACCTAAAACAGTCCCTAAACGGATGGTTGGAAAGCAAGAACTACACACTCAGTCCGGAAGTTCAGACTGTCGCTCTCTCCAACAGATGCATCGAACAGCTGGAAAGTGACGGTTTCTCCTTGCAAAACTTCTTCAAGGATTCCACGTACGAAGACAACGAAGTCACGATGGTCCTCAGGGCCATCCAGACGGTCAAGCCAGACTTCCAGCCACAATTCTTTTCCCCTCCAACGTCTACCATGCCGCTACTGGAAAAATTCTACATGACGGTAAAATTGAAGTCCGAGGGGTTTTATTTGATAGGTAGTGATTTCCCCCCCACCCATGCCATCACTCCGCTAAACACCTGATTCCCACAGCACTCTCTTAGGCCTAAAGCTATGTACCTGTGTAATAGGGCTGTGTTGCAATTATCCCTTCTCTTTCTTTTCTTCTCATTTTTCCTACTACCTTCTGTTATCCGTATCCATGATTTATCACTTGTTGATTGTATGATTTGTGATTGTAATTATGATTTGTGATCTATGACATCACTTTGTTGTTTGTACGTACACTCAGAGCTTATGCACTGGAGACAAATTCCTTATGTGTCCAATCATGCTTGGCCAATAAGTCCTATTCTATTCTATTCTATTCTATTTTCTATATTCTATATTCTACATTCTATTCTGTTCTATTCTATTCTATATTCTATATTCTATATTCTATTCTATATTTTATTCTATTCTATTCTATTTTCTATATTCTACATTCTATTCTGTTCTATTCTATTCTATTCTATTCTATATTCTACTATTCTATATTCTATTCTATTCTATTCTATTCCATTTTCTATTCTATATTCTATTCCAGTGGTGGCGAACCTATGGCACGGGTGCCAGAGGCGGCACTCAGAGCCCTCTCTGTGGGCACACGCGCCATCGCCCCAGTCCTAGGCCTTCAGCTGGGTTTTATAAAACTTTAGGCCTCCGCCGCCGTGTGCAAAAAAAAAAAAGGTTCCTATAAGCTAACACGTATTTATTTTCCCCAAAAAATTTCGTTCTTTCTTAACCGTAATTAAAAATGGATTTAATCTTTCAATATTCCATTTCATAAATCTAGCCCTCTAATCTTTTAAACTCTTACCGAATTTTGATCACACGACCACGGGGGAGGCAGCAACGGTCGTTAAGTGTGAAAAACGGTCCTAAGCCACTTTTCTCAGTGCCGTTGTAACTTCGAACGGTCACTAAACGGACGGTCGTAAGTCGAGGACAATCTTGTCTTCCCCCCCAGGTAGGTCTGTCGCAACTTCAAACGCTTGCGAAGCAATTGGTCATAACTCAAGGATTACCGGTATCCCCGGGACATTGTCATGGATTTCCCCCCCCCCTCTTTTCTTCCCCCTTAGAAGACGCCCGTTTCTTACGCCAAGCTCAATTTCACCGTAGAAGAGTTGAAACAGCGATTCCGAAAACAGTACAAGTTGGAGACTTCCGACAGGGTCACGGTTGATTCGGTGGAAGCCACCAAACCGATCACGCCTACAACTATCAGAGCGGTAAAATTAACTCTTTGAGGAGAGGGTTGCGTTTCCGGCCGGAATGGAAAGGGAAGGGATGAAAAACGGGAAATCCTCGAGTTACGACCGGAACGGAACTTGCCTTTCATGGTCGTAACTCGTGATTGTTGTAAAATGGTGCGGTCGTGTGACCCACCCAACGTGGTTTTTTTGTGGCAGTCGTTAAGCAAACGAGCGGTTCGCTACGGGCACGGTTTTGCCAAAAACTGAGAGCGAATGCCGGCTTTCGGCAAACCCGTTGTAAAATGCGGTCAGGTGACTGAGGGACGCTGCAAACAGCCGTAAATGTGACCTGGTTGCCAAGCTCCCAAAGTGTGGTCACATAGCCACTGCACGCTCTTCTAGCCTTCGGAATTTCAAATTTGGGTTGTAAGTAGCCCTCAGGTACAATCGCTAAGCGGCCAGTCATAAATTGAGGACTAGTACATCAAGAACGGTTGCAGGAATTGATGATGATGATGGTGGTGATGATGATGGTGGTGGTGATGATGATGATAAAGTTGGAAGGGACCTTGGAGGTCATCTAGTCCAGCCCCCTGCTCAGGCAGGAAATCCTATACCATTTCGGACAAATGGCTGTCCAGTCTCTTCTTAAAAACTTCCAGTGTTGGAGCATTCACAGCTTCTGGAGGCAGGTGGTTCCACTGTCAGGAAGTCCTCACTGTCCTCACTGTCAGGAAGTTTCTCCTTAGTTCTAGGTTGCTTCTCTCCTTGATCAGTTTCCATCTGTTGCTTCTTGCCCTGCCTTCAGGTGCTTTGGAGAATAGCTTGACTCCCTCTTCTTTGGGGCAGCCCCTGAGATACTAGAACACAGCTATCATGTCCCCCCTTGTCCTTCTCTTCATTAAACTAGACTTACCCAGTTCCAGCAACCGTTCCTCATATGTTTTAGCCCCCAGTCCCTTAATCATCTTTGTTGGATATGTCTAGTCAAGTGTGCAAAACCCTAGGAAGCCTGTGCTCACTTAGTCTAGTTTAGTGCAGGGGTCCTCAACCCCCCGGTCCATGGATCGGTATTGGGCTGCGGCATGCCCGCAACCAGTCCGCACCAGAAGCCAAGTCCCATCTGTGGGATGCAGGCAGCACACAGAACCACGCACCCTTCGGTCCGTGGAAAAATCTTTCTCCATGGAGCCAGTCCCTGGTGCCCAAAAGGTTGGGGACATCTGGTCTAGTGGAAAAAAGGACTGGGGGTGACATGATAGCAGTCTTCTAATATCTTAAGGGGCTGCCCCAAAACACCGGAAGACAAGAAGTAACAGATGGAAACTAATCAAGGAGAGAAGCAACCTAGAACTGAGGAGAAACTTCCTGACAGTGAGAACAATTAACCAGTGGAACTACCTGCCTCCAGAAGTTGTGGGTGCTCCATCACTAGGGGGGTTTTTAAGAAGAGACTGGACAGTCATTTGTCTGAAATGGTTTAGGGCAGAGGTCCCCAACTTATGGGCCACAGCCCACTACTGGGCTGTGGCCTCTTGGCCACCGGGCCACGTGAGTGCCTGGTCACCGCATGCGTGCATGTGTGTGCACTCTCCCCCTGCCCTTGCGCCGCCACCAGCTGAGCTGCGTGCCGGCACTAGCAACCCCATTTGCGGAGTGCGCCCGCTCTCAGCTCCATTCATGTGCACGCAGCCATGTTTGCGCATGCGTGCATAAAGGTGACTGTCCCTCCCTATGCCAGTGGGCCTCCAGCCCAGAAAAGTTGGCGACCCCTGGTTTAGGGCTTCCTGCCAAAGCAGAGGGTTGGATTAGAGCAGTGGTTCTTAACCTGGGCGGTACCGCCCCCCAGGGGGCGATTTCATTTTTCAGGGGGGCGATGGAATGAAAAGGGGCGGCGTGGGGGCGATGGAATGAAAAGGGGGCGATAGGGGGCGATGGAGCAAGATGTTTTGGGGACATCTTTGAGCCTTCCCCTGCAGCTCCGAGCGTCCTCCGCCATTTGTAGAGAGAG